TTATTACTACTAAAACTGCTGTCTTTGTTTCTTTATTGCATTTTTATTTGATATAAGGGGCCCACTCCCCATCAGGTGAGCTAACACACTGCTCTTGTCTTATTTTGTTCTTTGCACTGATATAAAAGATTATGCAAATATAACATTATCATTATTAGTACAAAGTCGATGATGAAAAATTTTTGCTGTTTGTTTTAAATCTGAACAGATTATTATTTGTACATTTGTTTAAATTCTCAAGTTTAGTTTAAAATTGAAAAGATATGTCTTTACTTTTGTTTGTGCCCTAATCACTCTCTCTCTTTCTCTCTCAATATATATCAATACTGCTACCCATAATGCATTAGTTATCCACTTATTATTGTATTCTGATTAAAAACATATGCATAAATATATCTATATTACAATGGAGCCTCTTGTCACAAAATAAAAGTTCACAAATGAAATTTCCAAGCAAAAAAAAATATGTCTTCGGTGATGAACATTGTCTCAGTTGTTGAAGACATAAACTGGCAACAATGTGGACGATTGTGGAAGAAATGTCTTCAGAGGGGGAGAGGTAAGAAGGAAGTATGTTGCTAGTTCTTTGATTTGCAAAATTTGGGCAGAATGTGGTGAGGCGCAAAGTTTTGTGGAACGATATCACCCTGATAAAGCAGCAGGAAATTGCAGCATAAACATCTTGAATAACAAAGCCATGTCTCATAGAAAAACTTTTCTGCTTGCCATCAGCATGGCTGATGCTAGACTTCTGGAGGGCAACACACTGCGCCTTCTTGGCCTCATGTTTTCAACTGTCTTGAAGTTGAACGACTACATTGAATCAATAACTGCATCTACTGCAAAGGAAATTGGGTTACTGTGGTTGTGTCAGAATCCATCTTGCACATTTACAAATCTACTATTTACCTGTGCATTGAATACTGCTGCCATATCTGGTCTGGTGCTCCTGCTATTCATCTCGAGGTCCTTGTCAAAATTCAAAAAACGATCTGCAGTGTCATCGATCCTGATTTCAGTCACTTTTTCACTGACAAGCTTTGTTCCCTGGTAATCCAGCTACAAGCTTAATTTATTTTATTTATTATTTGTTTTATTTATCACCTCTTTATGAATGTATTCTTTGTATTAGATAGATATAAGGTAAAGAATCTAACTTATATCTACCTAATACAAAGAATACATTGCTTAAGAGGCAAACCATAAATTAGAACCTTGTATCTTCCCACTGTGTGGATTGACTGCACAAAGGTCAGGTTAAAACCCTTAGTAGACAGACACACACACACAATTACAAATACACATTACAATCTGATGCCCACTTAGACATACAAGAATCTTCACAAACCTACATCCACTTGGAATGATCCATGGTTTTAATACATGTCACATGTGTCTGCCCAATGAGAACTGACCCAAACATAATTGAAAATACTAATATTTTCTGGCTTTTTGTCTGTTTTCTCTTAATCTCTGATGAAGCTTTAATAAAAATGAAACATGTTTGATTGATATATGTTTCCTATTTTTCTTTTTTATTATAAATATATATATATATATATATATATATATATATATATATATGTATGTATATATATATATATATATATATGTATGTATATATATATATATATATATGTATGTATGTATATATATATATGTATATATATATATATATATATATATATATATATATACATATAAATATAGATAACTAAACTTGTTTCGAAAAACCCTTGGATTTTTGATTTGCTAATCAAATCAATCTCGAGGGAAAAAAGGTTTTAAAAAAAGAAAGAGCTACAAACATGAACTTCTGTCGACAAAAAATCGCACAGATGCAGGTCTGAAGCCCAAAGAAAAAACCCCAATATGAGTAAACTAACTAACAAAAGCGCTCAATACAACCATAGAGCAGACCTAGTCAAACCTAGTGAGCCAGACAAACCATTTAGGTTTTCACCTTAACGGATCGTCAGGGAAAGTCAAGTTGACTTTCCCTGACGATCCGTTTAGGTGAAACCTAGGTAGGTTTGTCTGGCTCACTAGGTGTAACTATATATATATATATATATATATATATATGTATCTTGAATATTATTTTTTGTAGCTACTAGTATTTGAGTAGACGTTCCATTTATTAATTAAACAGTATATTTAATTCTTTTCATCTGATGTCCTGAATATCCGGGAAATTTTATAAGAGAAAAATATACACTCTCTGGAATAAAAAATAAAAATAAATAAATATAGTGTTTAATAAATAAACAAAGTGTCAATATAGATATGATTATCCACCAAAAATTAATGTTTAAATAATAATAATCAGTCAGATTAATAAATAAAAAATCTATCCCTTTCTCTACACATATATGTGTGTATATATATATATATATATATATATATATGTGAAAATTGATTTTATATATATATATATATATATATATATATATATATATATAGTGGATTTTGATATTATTGTATCAATATTATTATATCAATATTATTATAATAAATTATATTTAAGCTCTGCCAACTTTGGCATTGAGCACTCTGTTTATTTTGTATTTTAAATTTCAACTTATATTTACTATTTTTTTGTGTGCATATATATATATATATATATATATATATATATATATATATATATATTTTCTGGTGCTGTCAAAATTTAACACAAGATTTAAAATATTGGCAGAACCTTATTTTGAGATGACGTTTTGTACAGAAGTCTTTCTAAATGAAAATTGAACAATTCTAAAACATGAGTTATAAGATTAATCAGATAAGTTGTAAGTGGGTGTTGAATTAATATGTAATTAGTTGCCTTTCTTTCAAACTATTAGAGATTATTTGATATCTTCATGGGTTATTTAGAATTCGTTGAACATTAACGAAACCGCAGAAAAAAATTATTCTTATGTTTGTGTGTGTAAATTTAATAGATATTCCTTTGCATAAATTGAATTTATATATATGTGTATATGTGTGTGTGTGTGTGTGCATGTCCACCATGGCAGACATCAAAGGAAACAATCTGTGTCAAGACAGAAAAACATGGAGGTGCTTCTAGACTGACAGGTTGTGAGGCCTACCTGGAGTTGGGTGAGAATATGTGGGTGTATGTGTGATATATATTTTTTAATCATTTCACTCCAAACAAGGTGGGGATACTACTAATACACAGTTACAGAGAGTGAAGGTGAGAGAAAATACTGGATATAGGGGTGTACTGAGGAAAGGATAAAAGCTGAAGAAGATTGAAGATGGCGATCGACATTGCATTTAAATTTTTGAAGATTGTAGTCATCATAGATGCATGGAAACGGAAGTAGGAGTGGCAGTTGTATTTATCTATTTCAACAGTAAAAGGGTGGGACCTATATGCCAATCTAGTAGCATACTTACACTCACATAGCCTGGGGGGTAGTGCAAAAAGCTCATCAGAGCAGTTACCATGAAAATATATTTTAGAAAAGACAGAAGGATGCCACATCATATTGGTGAGAAAGTAACTGAAGTCGAGATGCCAAGTCAGGATTGATTACATTATAGATCCTTCTTTGGATTTTGTCAAGAACCTCAAGTTGAGTAGCAGAAGCACCAGACCAGATATGGCAAAAGTATTCAATGCACGGGCAAATAGTAAATTTGTAAATGTGCAAGAAGGACTCTGACGAGAAAAACCTTCTGGCATAACAGAGTTTATAAGTGGCAGTTAAGTACTTTATCTCATAATGACAACATATAAATTTCATCTTGACAATAGTAATAATGAGCAGAAATTTCAACAAATATCTCTATAAAAGGCAGGATGTGTGTGTGTGTGTAACGAATGCACGGCCGCAATTTTCGATGGATTTGAACCAAAATTTACATGCACATGCTCCAAGTTAGCGGGAAGGCCAAGACTGACTTTGCACTTCCCAACTCCCATCGATAGTGGAAATAATCAATTTTTTCATGCTTCTACGGCAGTTTTCATGTAGTTTGCGGCCATTTTGTACTGGTCAGAGTGAGAGCCAATAGCTGGCTGCCACGAATAGGCAGAAAGATTCTATTGACCAGCATAAGAACCAACAGCTGACTGACATGAATGTTAACTAGCATGCTAGCATGCAAAAAAAATCGATAGCTGCATTCGTCACAAGTGGGAAAAATTTAAATGTGCATGGCACTTTACTCCAACTGGCTCATTCGCTTGCTTAAACTCAACGTTGATTCTGATTCCGCAGAACTGGGTTGGGTGTGAAAAAGTATTTGTTGTTAACATTCTTTTGTCATTCGGTTTTTCCAGTTACGAGTCCTTTTTTAAAGCTGCTTGTTTTGTGATCATTTTGTTTAGTTCTTTTTCCGTAACAGATTTAATGTTTAGTATAGAGCTTAGAAAAAGTTCACAGTGTAAGATAGGCATGAAGTAAGGCATGTAGCAACATCAGCACGGCAAAGGACACTCCTTTAAAGGCAAGGAAGGGCAAAAATATTTTAAGCCAAGTGATAGCGATTGCTTTATGAGTCGTAGGATTTTTTAATCAAGCACGGGCAACGCCGGGCCATGCTGCTAGTATTTATATAAATTTTAAAAGACATATTTAAAAAAGATAGAGGAAAAAATATTCAGTACCCAACATAAACAAAGCTTAGTACTTTGTGGAATAGTCATTTTTTGCAATAACAGCCTTCAGTTACTTTACTATTAGTAACTTAGTTTCAAACACTCTTCTACTTGTATTTTGAACCACTCTTCATGACAGATCTTCTTCAGTTCATTCAAATGAAGGTTGATGATCATGGACACATTTTAATTTGAATTCAGGTCACTGACTCAACCACTTCAAAAGATTAATTTTCTTAATTTCAAACTCCTGTTTGGTTATTTGGGCCGTATGTTTACGATCTTTGTCCATCAGAAATATGCAGTCGTGTTTTATTTTTAACACCTTGACTAACATAAAGAGGTTCTCTATCTTGGTTCATGATTCCATTCATTCTAAGAGCTTATGACTATATCACATTGAAACACTGATTCCCATTCAATCACCAAGGTTAAGCAATGTCGAGTCTGGTCAGTACTTAGATGGGTGACCGCCTGTGAATACCAGGTTCTATAAACATGGATATGTGGGTGATAACGGCTCAGAATTGGAAATTGGAGAGCTAAGTTTCAATTCCAGTCTGGTGTGTTGTATTGCATGTAAATACTTCGCAAAGGTATGAATCCACTTTCTCTCCCTCCAGCTATGGGTTAATTAGTAAAACTTGTATCAGTAAATCGTTATTATCTCCCAAAGATTCTTACAATCTAAAAATATTTTCTGAGTTCAAATAATCTAGAAAAGGTTGGTATTCCATAAAAAAACAAATTAATTAAGACCATTCATTATTTTTTTTATATGACACTGTCCTGTGCCAGAGGATGAAAACTGTCTTACATCTATGCTTCAAAAGTAAGACTCTGGTTTGGATTCTTCATTGTTCTTCCACTAAACTTGATAATGTGAACCGAGGCTAAATAACTCTCTCTTGGTTTCATTTGACCAAATCATATTATTCCAATATCTATCTGGTTTATATAAATGCTCCTTAGAAAACTTTAGATGCATCTCTACATGAAATTTCTTCAGGAGCAGTGTTTTTTTTTTTTTGGTGTACTATGAGATTGGAATTATGATTTTTACTACAATAATGATTAGTGGACAACTAGTACAACATGCATTATACTAAGACTGTTAACAACTATTCAGAATGTTCTAGAAGAATCTACAGCTGTTTAGAACTAACCAACAAGAAATTTATATTCTTCAGCAGTATTAGTGATATGTCCTGAAAAGGGATATTTTTGTTCAAAGTAGCAAAGTGGTTTTGGACTACTGTAACCAAGTAAGACAAACTAGCAGGTAACCGTAATGGACTGGTCCTCGTCGTAGGGGTAGGCAATAGGTATAGGCAATAGGCGTCCTTCTTATACCTCCACTTTAGTCTGTATTTATGGCTGACACCAGCCAATCATATTACTGTGAGGGGGAACCCAGGTGTATGCATATTCATTACATCAATTAGTTTACTTCAATTTTGAATGGGTATTGAATATTTTTTATTCCTCTTTTTTAAACAAATCTTTTGTAATTTTTACATAAATTTATTTGATGAAATGTCGCCCATATTCACTACTATAAAGATGAAACCAATATGTATTGTAATTTTGGAATAAACACTACATGTGTAAGAAAAAATTCAATAAGCTTGTTTTTTGGTATGTACTGAATACTTATTTTTATTACTGTATATCTAATCATAATCATCAGTCATTGTTATACTTACATGAAGTATTTGCCTTAAATATATATTCAAATGAAGATAATTTTTTTTTTATAAAGAACAGAAAGAGAAAAGCAGTGCTTAATGACATAGTGATTTTCATATAAAATAATATCATGGCAGATTATATTTTTCAGGAGAGTCGTAGACATTTTATATGAGGAAAATCAGAAAAAATAACATTTTTGTATAATGTGTTCTATTTAGTTGACTAATGAGCAATAACTTAGAGCTTTTAGTAATGACTATAATAAGTAATATATAAGAAATGAAAGGTTTTGAAAAGAGAGAAAGATTTTATCTTTAATATAAACATAGACAAGTGAGAGAGAGAGGCCATGATAAATTCACTTTGTTGACAAAAATCATCAATGTCTGAACAGTTCAAGTTATTCATTAATCAAACAAAAAGACTTATATTCTGTCTACTTATTGCAACATATGATTCATTATTGCCTTTTTGATGAGATTTTTTTTCATAATGTCAATTTTTGAATCAATACTTTAGAAATATTTCAAAGAAATTACATTGTCTACATTTTCAAGAATGAATTTGTCTATCTCATTCTTCCCATATCTCTCAGGTTGGTCAAAATGTTTGTTCAGTCTATTAAGTAAAAATAAAACAATTTCAACTTTAATTCTGTGCGGAATCAAATAACTTTACTGAAGAACCTATTTACCATTTTGGTCCATAATCTTCTTTCATTTTTTTTAAACGTCATAATTACATTGTCTCTGAACTTTATTTTTTTTACCTTTTTAAGCAAAGAATGCCTTCAGTCTTTCTGGAGTTGAAAGTTTGCCATTAATATAATTCTAAAAAATCATAATAAATGATAATGATAAATATGGTGGAAAAGCAAAAACTTGCATGCTAAACTATCAACTTTTGCATTCCATATTGTTGTAAAGTATCCACTTTCCATCCTTCATCACAATTTGTTTTCAAATAAGAATATTTTCCTTACGTAAAAAGTTAGTGGCACATGGAAATACAGTTCAGTAGGTTTTAACTGTTTAACAATTGGTTTACCTAAATGTTTAGTAAGAATTCTCTACTGCAAAATTTCACAAATCATTTTTTTTTTAATAATTTTACAGTACCTTCTCCATTACCTGCACGATTCCTTTTCTTTTTGTGTTTAAGTTTCATTTTTACTTATTTTAGAATAGAAATTCCATAAATAGAAAAGTATATGTCGAAAATGTTGTATATTTCTTCAATGTTAGAATTACTGAATAAAACTACACTAATCTTGATTAAAAAATAGACACTCTCATGGCAGCTATCACAAGACGATCAAAAACGATCTTTTTGAATGAAATCAATTAAAACTAAATGTTGTTAATGACATTTAATGGCAACACATATTTTTGGTCAGCTCAACATCTTTTTATTGCATTTACTTTATAACACTCTTAGCCTGTTGCGGGGTTCAACACCTTTGATATGAGGTTTGGACATTTTTTTAGTAAAAGTTTAATGCTCCTGGTACATTTGTCCTGCAAACAATATAATAGTGGACTCTTGTGAGTCAGGGCAAAAATAAAGATGTAATATGTGTAGAATATTGGTTAACTTGCAAGTGGTCTGACACACTAGTAGACTAGTGTAGCCACCAAGTTAAAACTAATTCTGAGTCACTTAATGGAGAGATATATGGGTGAATAGAGACCACTTATGCAAATTTGTTTGGCAGGTCCATTTTAGCAAGATAGACCAATCCACCTGCAACATTAAACACTCTCCTATAGAAATGAGATAAAATTAGCTGGCTTGCTTTTTCAAGAAGACACAAGAAGGCAGCCATGTTAGCAGGTAAGCCACTTGACTTCTACAATATGGAATTTAAACAAACAAATAATAAAAAATATATTAATAGGACATATAACAAAAAGTAAAAATAAGAAATGAAATTAAATGTGAAGTGTTCAAGGCAACATTCAATATCTATCTCTGAAGTACTTACATGATGACAGATCAAGAAGAGGGCATCTCAAGCTTCACAAGAGGAAAAAGAGAGGGAGGTGTTCAAATCTGGCTCCGCCTGTAATTATCGTCAGTGGCTGGTAATTCAATATCTGGCACCTGTGATTATCGTCAGGGAACAGTAATCCAATAATGCTCTGTAAATTTACATTGAGCATTATTTTGTAAAAAAAAAAAATAAAAATAAGAATATCAATAAGAACACCGGATTACATATCTTACTGTTCTTTCTTTTTATTTAAATATACATATATATATATATATATACATACATACATACATATATATATATATATATATATATATATATATATATATATATATATATATATAAAGATATAGTTTTAAGATATGCTATATTTAAGGATAAAAGTGCTCGTTATCAGCAATTGAGTGCATGTAATTATAAAAGCTGACACTAAGATCAGCATGAAGCGGTCACAATCTGTTTTATGCTTGAATGCAATCTTCAGGCCATGAAAAGTCCTGTAGCAGCTTGATGTTGATGTCAGTGTCCACATTTATATATATATATATATATATATATATATATATATATAATTATTTTTATAAAAAAATTATAACATAAGTATGTTATAAAATCACTAAAAAATAGCCATTTTGTTTCAACACACTCTGTGTCTTATCAAGTGATGATGTTGAAAAAAAAAAGAAGCTATATATATATATATATATATATATATATATATATATATATGGGGGGATTAGAGACATATAAATATATATATCATATATTAATAACATATTACAAAAAGTAAAAACAAGAAATGAAATTAAATGTGAAGTGTTCAAGGCAATATTCATTATCTGTTTCTGAAGTACTTACATGCTGACAGATCGAGAAGAGGACATCTTGTCACTACCAAGATAATTAACCATTTCAGTGAATAATTAACCATTTCAGTGAATATCTTGTTAGTTGTGTGGCTCAGCTTAACGTCCGGTAAATTCTAAATCAAAACCCAAATCATCGGTGCACAATAATTCACACTAATTCAACTGGATAGTCCCACTCAATAGTTACAGCAGTCAGTAGCCTGACACCTCTATTTATATACCTGGTGGCAAGCATATATTCATTTTCTTCCTTTATGACAGAAAGTAAACATAATGAACCCAGTAAGAATCTGAACTCAACATGCTGGTACATATTTTTTTTTAAATCATTTCACCCCACAAAAGGCAATAAAGTCACTAAAGATGCAAGTGGTTACTGAGTGTAAGAGAATATGAGAAAAAAAAAACATTAAGAAGAGAGAATGATAAAAGAACAGGAATTAAACGGATTTGTTGTGGCCTTCAACACTTTTTCATGAGATTCTTATCTTTTTAGTAAATTTCACCTGCAAACAATTTTTGTCTTATTTAACATAAGACATAGAATTTAAACAAAGAAATTTTAACAAATATATTGATAGGACATTTTACAAAAGGAAAAACGAAAAATGAAATGTGAAGAATTCAAAGGGAAGAGGATGAATCTTTCAAATCTCACAGCACCCGCAATAATTGTCAGCGGGCAGTAATCCAACAATATATACTGATTTCTTGAGGTCATAAAGAAATGCTTTACTTTTTAATAAGCTATAAATAAACAATTGATTAACATATTTAGCACTAGTTGACATGAATTATAAAAAAATCCCCTTATTGAAAATTGTGCTTTGTTTTCATATTGTCCTCTATGTAAAATTAAGACCTTTTTTTTTAAGTTGATGCTCTTGGAAATCTCCATTATTCTGTTCTTGTACATATTGGTGAAAAAACAAAAC